GCTCGACCTGAGAGAGAGAGAGAGAGAGAGAGAGAGAGAGAGAGAGAGAGAGAGAGAGAGGAGAGAGGAGAGAGAGAGACGAGAGAGAGAGAGAGAGAGAGAGAGAGAGAGAGAGAGAGAGAGAGAGAGAGAGAGAGAGAGAGAGAGAGAGAGAGAGAGAGAGATCAGTGCAGAAAAAGCAGCAGTGCAGAAACAATAGAGACTTAAAATCCTCTCCGTGTGAAAATGCTCTTGCTTTCTGACGCTGACCTAACCAAGCAACCATGACACTGATATTAACAAATATACATTTATCAGCATTCAAACCAGTCCTTTTATTTTATAACGTATTTATAGATACAAAACTAGAAAATCATTCCTGGTGGTAAACTTAAGTACATACCCCAGAGTCTGTTTTCTCTTGTTACCTCATGGTGTTTTTTTGTAAACAAACAAGCGCACATTAAACGTTTCTCAGCAGAATTCATTGCTTGTTTCCTCTGGGCCCGACACATGTTCTGCATGCATTAACTTCCCCATAAAACCTTTGCAAAAAATGTTGATATTTCAGAGCTGTATACGATGTGGAAGAGCATAAGACCTTCAGGCAAGAATACATTTGACGTCACCAGTGTGTTTATTAGGTTTAAACGATGCAATTAAATCATACACATATAATGTCTCCAGACCTCAGTCTCTGCTCCAGACCTCTACTAGTGGCAACAACTCTTCATATCAGACTGAGCTGTTACTTTCTTGTTCTTTAATCAACTTAATGAATTAGTGCACATTGTACGTAGTACCGTTGTGTACTTTGTGTACAGATTCAGAGGCAATAAGTGAATGATGTAAGGTTATGTAGTATCTTTATATATATATATATATATATATAAAGGAACTGTATTAAGGGACTTGAAATCAGTCCTTTCCTTTTCTTGAGCTATCCAGTCTTTTATTTATGAGTTGTTTTTGATATAGGTAAAGCCCCGGAGAGTTGCAGTCATATGGCATGAGATGTTACCTCTCTGCAAAGCTTCAACACTTTAAGTCCTGCCTAAAAAAATCCAATTGTTTGACTTCATCTCCAAATGTGGGATGAAGACTCAATTCTCCATCAGAGTCCAACCACAGTACTTCTGTTCATTTGTGTATTGGCAGTGATCGAAGCCCAATACAGAACAATGTTATCATGTGTGAAGCTATAAGAAAAGAGACCTGTAAAGAGACCCTTTGCACCGAGCCATTGGCCGCTCTGTGTAAACCAATGTATTGATTGATATTAAAGCAAATCCTTTCCTGTTAATCCGCCATTACGTGTTGTCTGTTTGCGTTCTGTAATCAAATCTGATTCTACAAACGTTTCCTTCATCCGACTTGTCTTCAGCATTCGAAGGCGGCAGCTCATATCTAAAGTCAAAAGATATCTCAGTTAGGCTCTGTGTTGTTGGAGCAGTGTTTTCAGAGCAGAGTTACGGCCGTCGTCCTCTCCCTCTAACGTGCGAGAAATTATTGTTCCAGCTTCAATCTAGTTTAATTCATCTCCCCGCGCTCGCTGCAGATATTTGGCGCAGAGCGAGTATCACTCAGTCGTTTTGTTGTTGTTTGGAGCCTCCTCCTTCAACGTAATGCACACCCCCTGTTCGGAATAAATTTATCTGCAACCTCGCAAACACACAGCGAGCTTGTCCTCTTGATCCTGTCTGCTATATTCTGCATCCCCATCTCCTGGTTAGACAACACCGAGCCACAAATATGCTAAACTGAAGAGAGCGAGAACGAGCAGATGAAAGACAGAAGAAGAAGAAGAAGAAGAGTTGAGTGAGGGAGGAAGTGTGTGTGTGTGTGTGTGTGTGTGTGTGTGTGTGTGTGGGGGGGAAAGCGAGAGAGAAAGAGAGAGTAAGAGAATCCCATTTCATTGTAATAGTGTTTAATATTTATTGGAAAAATGTAAAGAAATTGTAGGAAGTGCTTTTCAGCGAGCGGGCGGGATTAGCATAAATAGTTTGGGGCTTGGACGTGTTCGGTCCTCTCTATTCTGTCACACACTCTGAAATACATGCATATGTTTGCACACACACACACATTTGCGCACACGCCTGCATGGGTAAACATTCAAACATGCAAACACACACACACTCACTGACCTTTGGGCGTGGAAACTCATCAGCATATAGTGATTTATAATAGGCACTGCCAATCCTTGTGTTTATTTTTTTCGCCTTTTTTGCATTTATTAGACAGCAGCAAAGGAGGGGGGGGGGGGGGGGGGGGGGGGGGGGGGTAGTGGCTGTTGTCATTTGTTTCATGCACTGTTACAGCTGATCTAGGATCTGTGTGCTGAATTTGGCTTTATGCTAATTAATTGTTATGAATGACAGGCATGTAACTGCAGAGGAGAAATATATGAATGAATTAAGTTGAGTTGGGTCCACATGTTGGTTTATGAGTTTCATCATTTCTGACATTCTGTTATATTCATGTTTCACCGTCTGACTCGCTGAGATGTGGGAAACATCGGCGTTTACATTATCTACAGTCAGTGTGACGTTAAGAGATACAAGAGGAGTCCACCGTTTATCCACTTCATCTAATCCCTTTCGTTGGAGGTTAAACTGAAAGTGAAATGTTGTTAATATTCCCTCATGATGTTCTTCCATTTCTGCTTTCTCAAGAAGAAGCAGGACATGTAAAAGGCTTTTCTTTGTGCTGCCGGACAGCGACACAAACAGCAAATGCAAGATGTTTCACAAGCTTTAAAGGTCCCCTATTATACTGTTCTTCATCAATATATCACAGGTCTCAGATATATACAGAGCCTGTCTCTGATTGGCTGAAACACCAAACAGATCATTGCAGTATTACCCATAATCCCCTCTGTTTCAGCCCTGTTTCCAAAGTGCTGATTCTCTGTCTGTTACTTTAGATGAAAATAAGGAGCCCCTCCCCACGCCCCTCTGAGAGAGATTTGGTTACAAAGAACTCAATGGTGCTCTAGGAGGAGATTCAGGTGATAAGGGGGGGGGGGTTACCTTGGTTGCTGATTGGCTAATGGTTACACAAGACAAAACATCATTATGACATCATCAAGTGGCCAAAATCTGATCAGCTCATTTTCAGACAGGTTTTTATAGAAATGGATCAAAAAGAGAGAGAATCTTTGTTCCTGAAACTTTCAGAGTCTCTTTCCACAGAGGGGACACATGTTGATGAAGAAGAGACATGAAGAAGAGGGGACACATGTTGATGTAGAAGAGACATGAAGAAGAGGGGACACATGTTGATGAAGAAGAGACATGAAGAAGAGGGGACACATGTTGATGTAGAAGAGACATGAAGAAGTGGGGACACATGTTGATGAAGAAGAGACATGAAGAAGAGGGGACACATGTTGATGTAGAAGAGACATGAAGAAGAGGGGACACATGTTGATGAAGAAGAGACATGAAGAAGAGGGGACACATGTTGATGTAGAAGAGACATGAAGAAGAGGGGACACATGTTGATGAAGAAGAGACATGAAGAAGAGGGGACACATGTTGATGTAGAAGAGACATGAAGAAGTGGGGACACATGTTGATGTAGAAGAGACATGAAGAAGAGGGGACACATGTTGATGTAGAAGAGACATGAAGAAGAGGGGACACATGTTGATGAAGAAGAGACATGAAGAAGAGGGGACACATGTTGATGGAGAAGAGACATGAAGAAGAGGGGACACATGTTGATGTAGAAGAGACATGAAGAAGAGGGGACACATGTTGATGAAGAAGAGACATGAAGAAGCGGGACACATGTTGATGTAAGAAGAGACATGAAGAAGAGGGGACACATGTTGATGTAGAAGAGACATGAAGAAGAGGGGACACATGTTGATGAAGAAGAGACATGAAGAAGAGGGGACACATGTTGATGAAGAAGAGACATGAAGAAGAGGGGACACATGTGATGAAGAGAGACATGAAGAAGAGGGGACACATGTTGATGTAGAAGAGACATGAAGAAGAGGGGACCACATGTTGATGAAGAAGAGACATGAAGAAGAGGGGGACACATGTTGATGAAGAAGAGACATGAAGAAGAGGGGACACATGTTGATGTAGAAGAGACATGAAGAAGAGGGGACACATGTTGATGTAGAAGAGACATGAAGAAGAGGGGACACATGTTGATGAAGAAGAGACATGAAGAAGAGGGGACACATGTTGATGAAGGTAAGAAGGAGGACATGAAGAAGAGGGGGACACATGTTGATGTAGAAGAGACATTGAAGAAGAGGGGACACATGTTGATGAAGAAGAGGACATGAAGAAGAGGGGACACATGTTGATGTAGAAGAGACATGAAGAAGAGGGGACACATGTGATGTAGAAGAGACATGAAGAAGAGGGGACCACATGTTGATGTAGAAGAGGACATGAAGAAGAGGGGACACATGTTGATGACGATAGAGACATGAAGAAGAGGGGACACATGTTGATGTAGAAGAGACATGAAGAAGAGGGGACACATGTTGATGAAGAAGAGACATGAAGAAGAGGGGACACATGTTGATGTAGAAGAGACATGAAGAAGAGGGGACACATGTTGATGTCGAATGAGACATGAAGAAGATGGGGACACATGTTGATGAAGAAGAGACATGAAGAAGAGGGGACACATGTTGATGAAGAAGAGACATGAAGAAGAGGGGACACATGTTGATGAAGAAGAGACATGAAGAAGAGGGGACACATGTTGATGTAGAAGAGACATGGAGAAGAGGGGACACATGTTGATGTAGAAGAGACATGAAGAAGAGGGGACACATGTTGATGTAGAAGAGACATGAAGAAGAGGGGACACATGTTGATGTAGAAGAGACATGAAGAAGAGGGGACACATGTTGATGTAGAAGAGACATGAAGAAGAGGGGACACATGTTGATGTAGAAGAGACATGAAGCTGGAGCATTGTTTGCATCTGATTTATAATAATTTGTACATTTACTGGATTTCACTGACCTCGTTTTTGTCTCCCTCCAGGCTCTGTGTTCGGAGGTGAGAGCCCGTCGCAGAGGAGTCGCCTCGGTCCTGAAACTCTGCCAGAAGCTGCTGCAACAGAGCCAGGTGGGTGGAGATCAGAGGTTTTTAACTGAACACCCACTTCTGTAATCCACATAATAATAAAGCTTTATTAAGACAGCACTTTTCATACAACACGTGCAGCTCAAAGCGCTTTACAAAATGACACATCACAAGTTAAAAATACACAACAAGAAATTCCCCGTAGATTATTTGTTAAGAACTTTAAAAGGTACGTGCAGCAAAATATAACATTTGATCAGGTTAAGAGACACACGGAGGTCAAAGGTGTGATCATGCTTTCTCTCTGACAGACGACTGAGTCGATGCAACAATATCAAATATGAAACCCCATAAAAAACAAAGTGAACATATCGGTACAACAGGAATACAAATGAAAAGATTAAGACCTATAAAATAAATAAAACAATTTAAAGGTAGGTAAATAAACTAAAAGAACATTTCAATAAAAGGCTAATCTATATAAGAAGAATACAAACTGGCGTCACTAGAAGGCAGAGCAGGCGGAGAACATACACTAACACTAAAATATGTATTATTTGAAGAAATGACCAAATATTTGCCTCTTGCACTTTAAAAAATGCAAATAAATTGCTTAATTTTTACATTTATTTCTTTAATCTTTTCATATTACTTTAATGCATTGTGGTGAACTAGTGACGTACCCTCGTGATTTCAATTGTACTTGATTTTCATGAAAAGAATACCAAATATTTGCCTGTTTTACTTTAAAAAATGCAAAATAAATGCTTAATTTTTACAATTAAATTACCTTTATTTCTTATTACCTGAATGATACTGTGGTGACATACCCTCGGTAAAAATCATCAAATTAGATTTTCAAGGAAATAATACCAAGTATTTGCCTCTGTTACTTTCAAAAACTGAAACAAATATTAATTTTAGCGTTTACATTTCTTACTATCTTTCCATATTTCTTTCTTGATCCAAAGGGTTTTCAGTGTCACCCCCTCAGGAGCCGGTTCAACCTTAAAGAGAGGATTAAAACAGTTGTACGTTCCTTAATTCAATCGTATGATTAGCATGATAATAGCTCTTATAATTCTGACAAATCTGTTTCCTCAATCCCTCTCCTCGGGGACAGTCGGGCCCCATGGCGGAGGTGGGCCCAGAGGCGGAGCAGCACCGGGAGGCCCTGCAGCTGCTGTCAATCAACCTGGAGAGAAGGTGGGAGGCGATCGTGATGCAAGCGCTGCAGTGGAAGAACCGCCTGAAGAGAGAGCTGGGGGAGACGCAGGTTAGAGAGAGGACTTTTACACTATACATCCTTCTTCCTTACACCCTTACATCCTACATCCTTACATCCTATATCCTTACATCCTTCATCCTGCATCCTTCATCCTGCAGGCAGTCAGCTGACGCACTGTTTTAGAAATCCCCAGAGAGGCAAAAGTACACACATCCTTTACTCAAGTAGAAGTACAGATACTCGTGTTTAAAAATGGTAAAAGTAGAAGTACTGACTAAACTTCTTTACTCAAGTAAAAGTAAAGAGGCTTTGAAGTGTACTTCAGTAAAAAGTACCCATAACTAGCAGCTGTTTTAAAGAGTACCTGACCTCCCTTTATATTAATAGAACAATAATGTCATTGTTAGCTAATGAATGTTTCCATGCTGAACAACGGCAACATGACAACGTTTTCATTGGTCCCTCTTCTTTAGAGAAGACCAGGAAATGATGGATACACGGATCGTGTTCAAATCAATAGGCACGCAATGACTCTAAATAATAATGATCACGCCACCAAACACACATTCAAACTAAAGTTTTAAAGAACTGCAGGTTAGAGAGTGATGACATGTACACGTTACATCCTTCATCCTTCCGTCAGCTGACGCTCGGTTACACTCAGTGAGCGCGTCACAGTTTGATGTGACGCTGAGATGCAGCGTGACAGACAGATGCTGCTGTGATTGAAGCTGCTTTAGTTATGGAGACGCTGTGGTGATGTTTTGTGAAGAGTGCATCTACTGAGTCACAAAGCTCTAACTTTCATACGAGTAGAAATGAGTCTTTCTGTTTCAAAATGACCCTTATAAGTTAACGTGAAAGTAAAGTGAGACACAATTTCTCTGATTCTCTGTTTATTCAGTAAAATGTAGATGAACTGAGCCTCAGAGTGTCACAGGGGGGGGGGGGGGGGGGGGGGGGATTAGTGAGTTTGAGGTTTTATTTTATGATTTCCCAGATCCATTTGTTGCCTTTTGTGTTTTGGTAGGAGCTGCTTGTTGCAATCTCTTTAAAAGTTTAAACCAATTTAAACTTTGTATAAGTCCTCTAAAAGAATATAATTGAGCTGTAGGGAGGGAACATTGGGATTTTAGCCTTTGCAGACCATTTACGTGCACTAAAACCTGTAGAAGACACGACTACAGGAAAGGGAAAACCCAACAAAAACTTGAATATGTAAATACGGTGTAATACTGGTGTAATATGGGTGTAATAACCCAGTGTTATGGGTGTATTACGGGATGTATTTATCTGTAATACAGGTGTAATAACAGTGTAATAATGTTAACAGAATAGCAATCTATTAATTTTTCAGAATATTATTGAAGATGTTATTTTGTATCCGTGGCATTGTCCACATCCTCTTCAGAAACCAGAGGAAGGGTCTCGTTTTATCTCAGATTCGATGTAAAAGACTCTAAATGAAAGCCCTTGTGGGGATGAAGCTCCACCGATACCTGTTAGTCGAATATAATATATGGAAATTATATTTTTTCCTCAACGTTATGAAACATAGAGCGGAGTTATGAGCAACATATGGAGGCTTTCATTCACAGTTTTTTCGATTACATTCAAAGCAGCCTGTCTTCTCCTCCACTCAGCATGGAGAGGTGATTTTATATACATGGATAATATACACACCAGAAGTATTGGTCAGCTGGTCAGCTGTTGTTTTGATAAGATGGATGGTACAATGGACTGATCTCCCACCAGACTAACTGTCTCTGTCACTGTCAGAGCAAAACTCTTTCTATTTGGACTTTTAAACCCGCAGAGGCTGAGGCTTCGTGCGTTTCTACATCAGTGGAACAGAGGCAGTTGATAGAAACTAATCTGTTAGTTCTCCGGTGCGATCAGTGTCACAGAAGCAATGTTTCCTCTGCCACCTCCTCGGCAAACAAAAGGAACTCGGCAAATGAGATTTTGACAGTTTGCATATCAGAACAGCACGCGTGTCTGCCGCCATGACGGCTGCGTCGCCAAACGTTTGTCTTATTAGAAACCTTCAGCTTCTCAGGTGTACTCACTGCAGGATGACAGCTCAGAGCAGCTCGCCTACTAACGGGAAGAAACGAGCGCTCACATGCGAATAATATGGGTGTAACGTGAGAATAATATGGGTATAATATGGGTATAATGTGGGTATAATGTGGGTGTAACATGGGTATAATGTGGCTGTAATACAGGTGTAATAATGGTGTAACATGATTGTAATAACAGTGTAATATGGGTGTAATATTGCTGTTTCATTGGTATAATATGGGTGTAACATGGGAATAATATGGGTATAATATGGGTATAATATGGGTGTATTATGGGTATAATATGGGTGTAACTTGGGTGTAATAATGGTGTAATATGGGTATAACATGGGTATAACATGGGTATAATATGGGTATAATATGGGTGTAATAATGGTATAATATGGGTAAAATATGGGTATAACTTGGGTATAACATGGGTATAACATGGGTGTAACATGGGTATAATATGGGTGTAATAATGGTATAACATGGGTATAATATGGGTATAATATGGGTGTATTATGGGTATAATATGAGTGTAACTTGGGTGTAATAATGGTGTAATAATGGTATAATATGGGTGTAATATGGGTATAATATGGGTGTAACATGGGTGTAATAATGGTATAACATGGGTATAACATGGGTATAATATGGGTATAATATGGGTGTAATAATGGTATAATATGGGTAAAATATGGGTATAACTTGGGTATAACATGGGTATAACATGGGTGTAACATGGGTATAATATGGGTGTAATAATGGTATAACATGGGTATAACATGGGTATAACATGGGTGTAACATGGGTATAATATGGGTGTAATAATGGTATAACATGGGTATAATATGGGTATAATATGGGTGTAATAATGGTATAACATGGGTATAACATGGGTATAATATGGGTATAATAATGGTATAACATGGGTATAACATGGGTATAACATGGGTATAATATGGGTATAATAATGGTAAAACATGGGTATAACATGGGTATAATATGGGTGTAATAATGGTATAACATGGGTATAATATGGGTATAATATGGGTGTAATAATGGTATAACATGGGTATAACATGGGTATAACATGGGTATAATATGGGTATAATAATGGTAAAACATGGGTATAACATGGGTATAACATGGGTATAACATGGGTATAATAATGGTATAACATGGGTATAACATGGGTATAATGTGGGTGTAATAATGGTATAACATGGGTATAACATGGGTATAATGTGGGTGTAATAATGGTATAACATGGGTATAACATGGGTATAACATGGGTATAATATGGGTATAATAATGGTATAACATGGGTATAATATGGGTATAATATGGGTATAATATGGGTATAATAATGGTATAACATGGGTATAACATGGGTATAATATGGGTATAATATGGGTATAATAATGGTATAACATGGGTATAACATGGGTATAACATGGGTATAATATGGGTATAATAATGGTATAACATGGGTATAACATGGGTATAATATGGGTATAATAATGGTATAACATGGGTATAACATGGGTATAATATGGGTATAATAATGGTATAACATGGGTATAACATGGGTATAACATGGGTATAATATGGGTATAATGTGGGTGTAATACAGGTTTAATAACGGTGTAATATGGGTATTATATTGCTGCTTCACGGGTGCAGAATGGTTCTGTTGCCAAACGGTTTGTCTCATTAGAAACCTTCAGCTTCTCAGGTGTACTCGCTGCAGGATGACAGCTCAGAGCAGCTCGTCTGCAAACGGGAAGAAACGAGCGCTGTGTGGAAATAAATCGCTCGTAAGGAAGACGTCCGAAAGGAGTAGAGTAGACGGAGAGAGAGCTGAGTGCTTCGTCCAGCTGATGATACGTGCTGCAGAATTAAGCTGTTATGGATTTCTTGTATTGATGAATATGGTTCTATAGAGACAGAGGGAGGAGTGCATTTGAATAAAAGGTCAAGGGTTTTACACACACACACACACACACACACACACACACACACACACACACACACACACACACACACACACACACACACACACAGTCACTTACCCAAGCATAACAAGCTGGTAAATCTTTAGCCAACACACACATCGTGGCACTGACTTCCATGCATATATTGTTTTACATAAATGCAACTGGAGACACGTGTAATGTGCATTTTAGACCACACACACACACACACACACACACACACACACACACACACACACACACACACACACACACACACACACACACACACACACACACTGGGAGGATTTATTGATTGCCAGCAATTAATTGACGGATAGCAGAGTGTTAAGAGCTCAGGAGGAGGAGAGGGAGAGAGGGACAGAGAGCTAAAGTAAATATTTAAATACAGAGGCGACAACCTCAATTTTAGATTTAAAGACGCCCTATTACTCTTTTTGTGGCTGTCCCTCTACTGTAGTGTGTGATACAGGTTTTAGTGCATGTAAATGGTCTGCAAAGGCTAAAATCTTGAATTTCCAGAACACAGTGACATCACTTTGTACTACATAACACTCACGCTGCTATTGGCTAGCTCCACATTGTACGTACGTGGCGGGACATCTCTAAGCGGTTGACCAATCACAACAGAGCCGGCCAGCTAACCAATCAGAGCAGACTGGACTCTGGTTTCAGACAGAGGGTGAAAAGAGGTGCTGCAGCACAGAGAAAAATAAAGAGCTGGGATTTAAGTCAAAATTCTGAGAAAAAAATATTTTATTTTCTCAGACAAATTTGTACTTTTTCTCAAATTGTTGACTTTTTTCTCAGATTTTTTTTTTTACTCCAAATACAAATATAAACCTGAACATCAGCAGAATACTGTATTTCCCTTTTAATTGACATTAAAGTTGAAGGCAATTATGTATTTAAAGCATCTCTGCAAAGTAGTCGAGTTCACCGTGCAATCCTTTGTTATACAATCTCTCTCACACACACACACACA